GGGAAATAACTATCTTAAATATACAAACGAACAAAGACGAAAGTGTGTGGAATCGCTATGCTCCGTTTTCGAAAAAGAAAATAGTCTGGAAGAAATCCTCTCTGAATTTGTTTATCAGACAATTATGAATGAAAATGTNGTATTGGGGAGTCAGTTTCGTTTCTTCGTACTACGCTGGCGACAACAAAATTTAAATCTTTCTCATTCATGTTTGGTTCTTAATTGTAGACGTAGATGAATGCGCAAGCTCTGGAACAAACGAGTGCGACCCCAACGCTTTGTGTAACAACACTGAAGGATCCTACGTCTGTAGTTGTGTTAGTGGTTATAAGGGTAATGGAAGAAACTGCACAGGTGAATTTTCTTCGTAAAGCTTTTGTTATTATTGCGCTATTGCGTCGAATTGGAGATCTAAAGCTCGAACCTTGTGTCGGAACATGCACTGCGCTTGATCTTGTGTTAAGCAAAGAAAACACAATTCTTGAGCATGGCACTTGAACTGCTCAGGCGTATAATGTAAATACCGAATAGTAGTTGGGGCGATGCGATGCGATGTAATACTAAGAGCTACCTCCGATGCACTATAGCATCTCAGTCATTGAGAGTAACAGTACAATTCGCTACTTTATGCTGAAGAAACAGGATTGTTGCGTTGTCTGTGTTAGTCCCTTAGCTTGTGGAAAAGACACGCAGGGTTTTATGTCCTCAAAACCGTCCGAGTGATCAATAGGTTAGGCGCTTTATCATTATTCTTCTCTGTGTTGTGTAGACATCGATGAATGTGAAAATGGAGAAAATTCTTGTCACGCGAATGCACTGTGTTCCAATACCCCGGGAAGTTACGTGTGCCGTTGCATTCGGGGTTTTGAGGGAGATGGCAGGACATGCGTAGGTAAGTCAGTTTATAAACATGCTTTCATCGTTCTTTATCTTAACACAGCTGTAACTCTTTTGCTCGTGATCTAAAGCTATTAACAATGTGATATGGGAATACAAATAAAGCCAAGCGTCACTACGATTTGTGCTGTTGCAAGAAGGGTAGTTTCGGCATGGGGGATTTTGATCACGAAATAAGTCGTTAACTATAGACGTTTCAAAAGAATTGCAGCACAAAACTGTTGACACTGCACTTTCTAGTGGATCGAAACGCTTATTTGAATGAATTACTAGCCTAGTTTTCCGCTTAACTTTGTTTCGATTTTACTTTCTTTAAAACAGATCGCAACGAGTGCAGGGAGAGCAACGACACATGCGCAGCTAATGAAGAGTGTGTGAACAAGCCTGGATCGTACTCTTGTACTTGTGTTCCTGGGTACACTGGAGAGGCAGGAAATTGTCAAGGTTATTTTTCGCTGTAACGTATTTTTTAATACGCTCCGTTTGATCCTAACGTTTGTTTCATTGAGCCCTTACCAGCAATGGCTATGAACACCGCAAAGTCTAAACAAGCTTACTTACACGATTGCAAAATACTGAAAAAAGAAAAGAAAACAGCTTCTTCCCTAACTTGCATTGAAAATTGAAATTTAATTTTCTTATTTTGACCCCAATTGCAGACGTCGATGAATGTGCAAGCCCTGAAACAAACGAATGTGATTCCAATGCTGTGTGCACGAACACTGAAGGGTCGTATGTCTGTCGCTGTGTAAGTGGATATCAGGGCAATGGTAAAAACTGCACAGGTAAATATTTATGCCGTAACAAATATGTCTGATGCATCTTTAGGCAACATTTCCTTAGAAAAGACCATACGCTTGATTCTTTACATAGGATGGAATTAATCCTCTGCCATGTCTGTCGTTTCTCCTCGACTTTAGACTTTGATGAATGTGCAAACCCTGAAACAAACGAATGTCACGCCAACGCTCTGTGTAACAACACAGAGGGATCCTACATCTGCCGCTGTCTTAGTGGGTATCAGGGAGATGGTAGAAACTGCACAGGTATATTTTTTGTTATATCTACTGCAAATGTGGTGGAATATTCACAACTCAAAGTTATAACTGTTTAACGTTTCAGCCATCGTTGTCGGCTGCTCCCCATCTTGTGGTCCAAATGCGAATTGCCTGGAAAGTGGCGGACGTCCTATGTGTGAATGCAGTCCTGGGTTTGAGGGTGATGGATACGTCTGTGCAGGTAGCGTTCTGTTTTCTGTTGCTTCTCCTATAACGGTACAAGACTATTTTAAGACTGCTGCTCATAATATTGTGATCAAAGTGATGAATCGCCAACTGTCCAGTAGTAAGAAGAAGGGTTAGAACCCAAATTGGTTAAAATGTATCGCGTTTATAGACGTTCTTGGGATAAATTCGTGGCAATTCATTGCATCGCAGATCAGGTACCCGCGCAGTATCATATTGCCCATAGAGTTGCCATTAGTTTCAATATACATTTTAACACTACCTAATGAAGGAGTGGTCGACAGAGAGTTGGTTCTAATTACTGAAGTCATAGATTTTATTTTACAGATATCAACGAATGTGACAATGGAGGAAATTCTTGTGACGTAAATGCGCTGTGTTCCAACACCCCGGGAAGTCACGTGTGCCGCTGTATCCAGGGTTTTCAGGGTGATGGCAGGACATGCGTAGGTAATTGTTCATACCATTATATAGAAATGCTTGATTGCATAATAACGAATTAGCCCTTAATTTTTGAACTTCTTCCACCTCATACGAAAATTTAGTTTTTTATACTTTGTTAGTTGAAGAAGAGCCTTTTTGGTGTGATATTTCGAAAGAGTGTGATTGTAGAGGGATATAATTAAGTATAGTACACGTTTTCCTGCACTAAATTTCTCATTTGCATGTAAAATGACATTGCTGCATCTTAAAATGAACGTTTGAGTGTACTTTTTCAACAGATCGCGACGAATGCAAGGAGACAAATGACACATGCGCAGCTAATGAGAACTGTGTCAACACGATCGGGTCTTACTCGCGCAGTTGTGCCCCTGGGTACACCGGAGGGGCAGGGAATTGTCAAGGCCATTTTTCTCTTGCTATTTTTAAATAAACGGACCCAGTTTGTGTTTATTTGCTTGATTGCTCTCTTTCAATACCCATATCACCACGTAGTGGAAACATCACAGCAGACGTTTCAATTAAGATTTGGTCTTGAACTCAATATAACTACTGAAATGTTTACACTTAGATCTGAAAATTAACTCTGATTCTTTAGTTCCAACGCATTTAGCCAACGGCTGCGCGGTGTTTAGAGTAAAATTTGAATGAACCATAAACCATGTTGGGACGTGTCCATCGAAAAGGAGTTTCTTTTTAAATAAAAAAGATAAAGACGGTTTGACGCCTCTGTTTGTCAAACAAACTCTTCTTGGTGGCTTCAGGTTAGTCGCTTTGAGACAGAAAATTTATCTACAGCTGCTCTGATTTCAGACATCGATGAATGTTCCAGCCCTGATACAAACCAATGTGATTCCAAAGCTCTATGTAACAACACTGATGGATCCTACATCTGTCGCTGTCTAAGTGGATATCGGGGTGATGGAAGAAGCTGCACAGGTAAATATTTGTTCTTGCGTTTTATTACAGACAAAAATTAATTCTTACTGAAGTAGCAAATTGAAAACTGGGTTCAAAAACCACATTTTACAACAGCAAGGCTTTTAACCAACATTGTATCGTTATAAAAGTATTGTGCTACAAGTCGTCGAAAGTGCTCTCTGAGGGATATGAAAGTCAGCGATTTCGTTCATTTCACTTGTATTTTCATTTTTTCAGACATCGATGAATGTGAAAATGCAGAGAATTCTTGTCACGAGAACGCACTGTGTTCAAACACTGCGGGAAGTTATGTGTGTCGCTGCATTCGGGGTTTTGATGGTGATGGCAGGACATGCGTAGGTAAATCTTCAATTAACCGTTAAATGCATCATATTGCCGGAGAATAAAATCTTGGATAAAAGACGTATTTTTTGGTTCACCTGTTATTTCCAAGTGGAAGTCTTGCTTTGGCTTAATTAGTGGTCGAAAGTCGAAATAGGATTTACCCATTTACCCAAATAACTTTTGCTTCACTTTTCAACAGATCGAGATGAATGTAAACAGACGAATGACACCTGTGCAATTGATGAAGAGTGTGTAAACACGATTGGATCTTACTCGTGCAATTGCGCCCCCGGGTACATTGGAGAGGCAGGAAATTGTCAAGGTAATTATTTTGACTTTTACGAGAAAAATCTGGCTTTGTCATTATCTTCTCGGTGTCGTTATTTTTTCTGTACCTTAATCTGGTGTTCAAGTGTGCCAAGCGGCTTTCTGCCAGAAATGAATAAACGATCTTGAAATGAAGACGACAATTTTCAAAGAACAAACATTCATTAAAAAGTTGAATTCATTCTTAAGTTGTTTTCAAAATCACATTGTTTATATCGAGTAGTTAATGACCTAAATGCAACTCGATCAAATAAGACCTCGAATTTTAATTAGATTTATGTAAACTACTTATATTTTACTGTAAGCATTTCCATATCCATCTCACGAGGGAAGCGTTTACAGCCTTTTAAAAGATGTCGCAGAGCCCGGCGATATCTGCCATTTAGAAGGAAATAAATGCAAGGGTTAAGTGATGCGTTGGAATAAAATATGAACTTAGCTGCGAAACTCAATTGGTCCATACCACAAGGAATTTCCTTATCCCACAAAAAGAAAAATAAAAAACCGATGATATCTACAGGAAATATGCAAATAACAAACAGAAGTATGATTGCTAGAATTTTCTTGGTTATTTTGGTGTTTTCTTTACGCCGGCTTTTCATGAGTGAAGACGAACATCCTTTCCAAATGGGTTTCTGTCTTCTCAAAGCCCTGAATATGAGTGAATACAGAACGGTGACGATTGCCAAAGGAATGGCGATCAAAAAAACAGATAGAATTGTAAAGTGGATCCTCAGTGCTTGTAAGTTGTCAAATGCTGGCTCAAAGCTGAAGGAGCAAATGCTGATTCCATTCACTCTTTGAAGACGCGCTATGTAAAAATAAATACCGTGTAGACCCATTGATATTAGCCATATCAGTGCAATTACAAATTTAAGTCGTTTTGGAGTGATGAAAGGCTTTCGAAAGGGTTGAACAACTCCAGTGTACCTATCCAATGTGATAACAACAATACTTTGTATCGAGACAGCGGTTGAGATCTCTTGGACGAAGTAGACAACCTTGCATAGTGTTGCACCTGATAGACCATCGATTAGCCATCCCTGGTAACCGACAAAGATTTGTGTTAGTTCTCGCGGCACTGCAAATGCCGAAAGCAACATATCGGACACAGCCATGTTTGCGATTAAGTAGTTAGTCGTAGTCCTCATGTGCTTGTTTTTCGCAACAATGGCGATGACTGCCGCGTTTCCAAGAAGTGAGAGCAACATCATTACGATGTAACTTGTTGCTTTGATGACTTTTGTAGACACGGGATCTTCTTTGATGAAAGGCATGCATCTGACATCAGTCGAGTTTAGCATGGTGGTATTAATAAGAGGACCATCCATCATGTTTACTCATACCGTGAAGTGTATATAGCTCTTTAGGAAGTCAACATAATTGGCGAACTAACCCTGAGGGTTGGTTTTTACTCGGGCATAAACATAAGCCTAAGACCCCGTGCACACTACACCGGAAAAAAATTGAAAACGGCGTTTTTCGGCACCCTGAATGCACAAATGTTTGCCGTCGACACTACGCCGGTTTTCCCCCGGTTGGAAAAGCGTTTTCGAAAAGCTCCGTTTTCGTGACGGATTAGTGTGGACGGTAGGCCTAACCGCAGAAATAAAGCTGCGTTTTCAAATTTGTCTGGCGTAGCGTGGACGGGGCCTAAGCAACACGTGCAAACGTAGTAGGGCGCCAAAAAAGGCGCTAATTGACAACCTCTTACTGACTCTGCATGCTCATGTCACTTAAACAAATGCTTATGAGCTAATGAAAACAGTCGCCCGTAGGCCGCAACTTGTTTAGAGCTTTGTCAAAGAGGTGCGACAGACATAGATACAAGATAAATTGTCAACAAGTCCAACAAACATAAAAAGACGGTAAATTGATATAAGTTACGACTAAAAGGAAATTCAATAATTTATTTGTCAGTTAATTTTATCGTCCTCGATTATTTAGTTTCACAAATAACTTTTTTGTATTTGCTTAATAACATAGTCAATCATGATGGCCGGGCAATTTCGGGTACGGGCTTAAAACTTCGTAATTTCAAATTGGTTTAGTAAACGATTTAAGTNACCATAAACCCCTGCAAAACCCCTGAAGGCCGCCCCACAGGTCACGTACTCCCAAACGGGGAAACCGCTGACTGCATAAGCTCATATTTAACTTGCCTAAATGATATTAGCTGGATGGGCACGCTAGCTGGCTGCATTTGCTCGAGTTTAACCTTGCCTAAATGATATTTAGCCACATTTAATTAATTAATTAACATGTTTCATTTTAAGTCCATATATAAATCCTGCCGTAATGTTGGGCGCAATCGTTTCTTTAGAGGAATAGTGAACTGTTCCGTAGATTCAATAAAAGTCAGCGTCATTTGGTTCGAGAGGAAAAAGTGAAACACCGTCACATTTATTTAAACATTGTTTCCACGTTTTTAGATATTGACGAATGTGCGAATGAGAACAATAATGACTGTGATCCCAGCGCGCTGTGTACCAACACTGAAGGATCCTACATCTGTCGCTGTCTTCGAGGCTACGAAGGGAACGGCAGAACATGCACAGGCAAGGAGAGCTTCAATTGTCACACTGCCTTGTTTGCAAAGGTTCTGAGAGTTTTAATGTCACTCCCAAAATGGATTTCTTAAATAGTTGCTTTTGTTTCTCACCGCAGATATTGATGAATGTGCAAGTCCTGAAGCAAATACCTGTCACTCTAATGCCTTGTGTACCAACACTGAGGGTTCTTACATTTGTCGCTGTCTACAAGGGTATAGTGGTGATGGGGAAAATTGTACAGGTAAAGTTACAAAGTGAGAATCATTCTTTCAAAATGCGTCCCTTTTGAAAGATCCAATATTGCTGTTTACTAATCTGTTACATGTTGTACTCTAAAAACATGTATTATACGTAAACTCTCTTATCCACAGATATGAATGAATGTGAAAATTTTGAAACAAACGATTGTGACCCCAACGCTCTTTGTAGTAACACGGAGGGATCTTACATCTGTCGATGTCTCAAAGGGTATGAGGGAGATGGCATTAATTGCACAGGTAAAGCATGGCTATTTGTCATAATGATCAACACTATATGAATGAAAGTGAGAATTCATAGTGAAATGATGATACATTTTATTTCAATATTTTCCTTTTCAGCAACTGGAGCATTAGTTTGCGATCCGCCTTGTGGAAGAAATGCAGTTTGTCAGAACAATAGTGGAATTGCTGAGTGTGTTTGTGCGGATGGTTTTAACGGTGAAGAAAATTGTACAGGTAAAGTAGGATTACACCAACTTGATGTGAACGAGAATCGGGCGATCGACGTTGAACGCGCCACTCGTTACTGATAGATAAGTTGTATTTTCCACTGGCGGAGGAACGAAATAAGTGGAAAATGTTTTCTCACACACCGCTGGGGCCTGGGTCCGAGGGGCTGTTTTTTGAGTCACGTGCTCAGTGTTGTTTGTCAGTTGCTTTTTTTCCGTCCGCCATTGCTGACGAATATTTCAGAGCCCCAGTTCCCAGCCAACCCTTCGTTTGAGTTGATAACATACACTCTGTTAGTTAGATATTCTTCAATAAGATTGTCAGCATAGAGTCTTACTAAGTTTGTATCTGTTGTTTCATATTACTGTATTTTTGCCTACATTACGTGTAATGTTAGGCTGAATTGGTTTGAGAAATAATAGAGTCAGTTGGCGGCGGTCAGCTTGACAATGGTTCCCAGAGGTGTGTGAGAAATAAGTTTACTGCCATAATACTTATCTAATAATGGTTTTTCTCTTCATTTTGCTCATCTTAGACATCGATGAATGTGAGGATGAAAACAACTGCGATTTAAACGCCCTATGTACCAACACTGACGGATCTTACATCTGTCGCTGTCTAAGAGGTTATGAGGGCGATGGCCGATATTGCATAGGTATAAATCCATTGGTGACTTATTCATTGAAATTTTCTAAGTAATTAAGTAGCAGTTACATTGTAACCCAAGGACAATACAGGATTTTAAACCCAGGTAGCGAGAATTCGCCATATTTACAGCGGTTATAGCCCGCTGATATCAAGGAATGTCGCACCCTTCTAATTTTGAGTCATATTTTTCACCGCTTAATCAAATGACCCAACGAGCTAACTAAACGTTAATTCTTCCAATGGACGTAGATGAGGATGAGTGTGACAATGCTGAAAGAAACGATTGTGACCTGAACGCCTTGTGTAACAACACTGAGGGATCTTACACCTGTCGCTGTCTGAACGGATACGAGGGCGATGGTAGAAACTGCACAGGTAATGATGTTATGGTCAGGATTGGTTTGTCCTCTAAAGATCTTATTTAAGGAATAAAACGTCAGTTTCAATGTCTTCAGATACAGCAAATTATTCCGCTACTTTACGACCTCCGTATGAATTAACGCGGTTTTATTTATTTTTCCGATCCGACCCCACAAATGATCGATCCTCAGAAGGAAACATTTTCTTTTTTTACTCACCCAAACAATTTAGATGTTGACGAGTGCACCAATTCTGAAAAGAACGAGTGTGACCCCAACGCCCTGTGTACTAACACCATTGGATCTTATCTCTGTCGCTGTGTGAAGGGATATGAAGGGGATGGAAGAAAGTGCACAGGTATATGATACAGAGATTTTCTAATCCTTGCTTTGGACCCATTCTGTAGCTCGAGCTAACTTATATTGTTTGTATCTTCAGACGTCATATCTGGTTGCTCGCCATCTTGTAGTCCAAATGGGTTTTGCAAAGAAGAAGATGGACTCCCAGTATGTGCTTGTTTTTCGGGTTTCCAAGGCGATGGATACAATTGTACTGGTAATTAAGACACATTTCTTTACTCCTCTGGTCATTAACCCGTAAGTACCCCTGTTGATCTCCTTAATTGAAAAAGAAATTTAAAAAAAACATGATTGTTTACAAAAACGATCCATTGATATAGGCGGAGATAGAAAGAGCAAGGAAACAAGGCATTGAGAATTGAAGGTTACAGTTTTAACATCCCTCCACAATTCTGTTTACAAGTACTTTTTGCTCTAAAATTTTGATATCAATAAGTGTGCGAGTAACATGACAATGACCTTAATTCCATTTTCATAAACTCTGAATGAAGGATCTTATGTTTGTCGCTGTAAAAGAGGATATCGTGGACACGGTCTTGGTTGTTCATGCAGATAGCTAAAACTGGCCGCCTCTCGCAAGTCTGTACGAGAACATCATAGCAAAAGTTAAAACAACCAACATTCACTAATACAAAATTATTGGTTGCCAGATATTGATGAATGTATAAGCTCTGAAACAAACGAGTGTGATCGCAATACGCTTTGTACAAACACGGAAGGATCCTATGTCTGTCGCTGTCTTAAAGGATATCAGGGAGGGAGACGAAACTGTACCGGCAACTTCTGTAAAAAAAGAAAAATTATGTTCTGTCCTTAAATCAGATCAGGGCCGTAGCCAGAAAAAAGCTGATGACTGATTTAATGTTATTTGTTTGTTTATTTATTTGTTAGCAGTGTTTTTCTTTCCCCTTCAAAAACAACAACAACAACAACAACGGCAACAAAAACGAAAAAGAGACTGAGGCAAGTGCCTCGGTTTTCCTGTTACTAGCCACGGCGCCGCGCTTTAGGACTAAACTTTATAACATTTTTGAAGAATAGAAAAGACTGGGTATCGAGGTCAGCTTCGTATATCGGTATTGCAATTTAAGTGGTTTCTTTTTATCTTTGGTACCTCACTTCATTTCCCTGGAGATGCCAGAGTTGCCTCGCAGATGTCGCCACTCACATTATTTCCACTCGCCTTATTTAAACGCTTTCCCATTTGCTAGAAATTTTAAACTGCACAAGAAAGGATCGTAATAATTTACATCTGTACATATTTTACATAATATTGTACTTCTCTCACTGTGTTAGCGGATATGAGGGGAACGGGTGAAACTGTACAGGTACAGTGTTAATGGTCTTCAAAAGTACACCTTTATTTTTTTTTCTCCTTCGAATGTACAGATATTGACGAGTGCGCTAGTGTTGCAACCAACGAGTGTGACCCTAATGCCTGGTGTACAAACACTGAAGGTTCTTACAGCTGTCGCTGTATCCGGGGCTTTAAAGGGGACGGCAAAAACTGCACAGGTGAAAAGTAAATGGTATCCGTAATATCTCAGGCAAAGGCATACTCTGAGATGTTCATGGGATCTTAACTGTTCTGGATCCAATCTAAGGCTACTTACGAGATATTACAACTCGACAGTTTATTGGAAAACTTACAAATGGTTCAGTGCTGGTACTCTCTGTGGCGCAACGCTACCCTCTCTAAAGAGAGGGTATCTTTGTCTTGAAAAGGTAGCATGATAGAGAGAGAGCCAAAACTGGACTGACAAACTATATTTCTAGAGTGAGACAACAAATGTATAAGTAGCTTTCTGTTTACGTATTTTAAATTACCCACATGCTACATTAACTGCCGTTACTAAACACTTGCTTGGCCCGTAAAGACACTGAAGTTATCAGGCATTTTGTTATATCGATACTTTTCCCTTGATCGTTGTTGATGTTGTTTCTTTAAAAGAGAACTACCTTCACTTACCGTAATGTTTTTGTCACTGTTTTCTCATAATAATATAGATGTCGATGAATGTTCCAGTAATGAGAAGAACGACTGTAACCCCAATGCCATGTGCACCAACACTGAAGGATCCTATGTCTGCAGATGCATTCGAGGTTATGAGGGTGATGGTCGAAACTGCACAGGTATTGATATTTTTCAGTGTAAATCTACATTTTGGTCTTTATCTACTCTGTTTGTTGTGCTCCCTGTGTGTGTTTGTAGACCTGGTTTCTAAGGAGACGGAGAGAATTGCACAGGTTTGAGACTTAGGCTACTAGAGGTGGACCGTATTTGCTTAATTTATCTTTCATATGATAATACTTATATACGTTTATCACAACAAAGGTGCAGTAGAATGGAAATAATTATGTTTAATTCGAGGGACATGAAAGGAGATGATAATACAGTCTCGGCCTTTCTGGTACTTATCCTTCTGGGTTATACGAAGATCGCTCTTAATTTGGTCCATCGTTTTTGAATTAACGGGAGCCCACAGGTGTCATCTGGGAGTAAGCTTTCTGTTCACCAAACCCATTTTGGATATAGACCAGCAAAAGTTCATGAAAACCAGTTCAGGAAGTAATATAATTATGTTTTCATTCAGATGTCGATGAATGTGCAAGTCCTGCATCAAACGAGTGTGATCCCAACGCTCTGTGTACCAATACTGAAGGATCATACATATGTCGCTGTCGTAGGGGTTACGAAGGAGATGGTAGAAATTGCACAGGTATCCAAGTTACTTGGCATTGAAATAGTCTCATTATTAGTAGCCGACAGAGGTACCCTCTTCGCGTTCCACCAGACTTTTACCAAATTCTTGTTAAGTGTACGTAAATTGTCGAGCAAACCACCGTCGAAAATCAATGTTGGTAAAAACAAAAGTATGCGTGGATATGTTGATAGATTTGATCTTTCTAGCTTGGGAAGGGGGAACAAACTTGAGAACATTTTTGTTATTCCACGCTAACTTTCATATATTGATAACGACGCGTTATTATTATTATTTTTTTTAATCAGACGTGGACGAGTGTGCAAGCAGCGAAACAAACGATTGTGATTCAAATGCTGTGTGTACGAACATTGAAGGGTCGTACGTTTGCAGATGCAAAAAAGGATATGTCGGAAGTGGTAAAAACTGCACAGGTAAGAAAAGTGTATGATTTCAAAATATTTAGCCGAATTATGAAATGTTATCTGCGCTATAGCTATCTATTTTGGGATCTGAGCCGACAGCTTTAGAAGTCTATCCAAATATGGTATTTAATTTTGCTAGGAATTCAAATGATATCAACAAAAACGTACTTATTTTATTTAGACACTGACGAATGTGCAAGTGCTGAAGCAAATGAGTGTGACGTCAACGCCCTATGTACCAACACTGATGGATCCTACATGTGCCGCTGCATTCGAGGTTATGAGGGCGATGGCATAAACTGTACAGGTATTTACAAACTTTATATCTCGCAGCGTTTCATTATAGACAGCTGTAACGGGCGGCGTGAAGATGCTGAATAGTTATTTTATTGTAATGATAACACGTGCATATTTGTTGTTTCTTTAGCCGTGATTTCTGGCTGTTCTCCATTGTGTGACCCAAACGCGTTTTGCGATGACGGTGGTGAACTCCCTGTGTGTGTTTGCAAACCTGGTTTCCAAGGAAACGGACAGAGTTGCATAGGTCAGTTATACAGTTTTCTAAAACAGCATTCTATATTTTTGTCAGTTTTTGTGGGATACATTATTAGTTAGATACGTTTACAAAGATGAGGTTCGTAATTCGTAATTTCCGTGCACAGTAAATTAATTAATAACCCATCAACCACAACCTACCAACTAATTTCGTTTTGCAGATATTGATGAGTGTGCTAGCGCTGAAGTGAATGACTGTAGCTCCAACGCCATGTGTACCAACACTGAAGGGTCGTATGTCTGTCGCTGCAAACGGGGTTATGTTGGAGATGGTAAAAACTGCGCAGGTAAAATGTCTTAGTGTTATCGACCTCTATTTCCATATTGACCTTTCATTTCAAAAAAACCTCTGATCGAACTCCTTTGGCGTAAATTGGGATCGACTGTCATAGGGAATGAACTAAAACAGGTTACAACTTTCTTTCTCAGATGTTGACGAGTGTACAAGTCCTGAAGCAAACGAATGCGACCTGAACGCCATGTGTACCAATACTGAAGGGTCGTATGTTTGTCGCTGTAAACGGGGATATGCTGGAGATGGCAAAAACTGTACAGGTAAAATATATTTGCGTTGGAATCCTCCACTGCCATTTACATTGTATGAAGCCTTCAACTTTTATATAGTACTACTCCGTTTCCAATATCCCCTAAAGTTTCATTTCTTGCGTAAGAGCTGTGGCTTGAGCTATGAGCCGTCATCAACCTACGACTTCATTGCGAAAGTGTTAAAAAAGAAAACCTGTGTTATGAAGGATAGTATTTCAACTAAAGCAGCATGGAAGAACCATTTATACTGTACTAAGTTGCATCTTAGTTATCATCGCTTGTTTTTGCAGATATTGATGAATGTTTTAGCGCTGAAGCCAACGAATGTGATTCAAACGCCATGTGTACCAACACTGAAGGGTCATATGTTTGTCGCTGTAAAAGGGGATATACTGGTGGTGGCAAAAACTGCACAGGTAAAATGTCTTAGTCTTGTAGACCTTCACTTCCATATTGACCAGTCATTTCAAAAAGCCTCTGATATGGACCGCAGTACTCCTTTGGGGTAAAGTGGACTGCCATAGGGAATGATCTCAACACGTTACAACTTTCTTCTACCAGATGTTGACGAGTGTGCAACCCCTGAAGCAAACGAGTGTGACCTGAACGCAATGTGTACCAATACTGAAGGATCTTACGTCTGTCGCTGTAGAAGAGGATATGCTGGAGATGGTAGAAACTGCACTGGTAAGTATTTTCTTAGTTTTGATTTGTTTCATTGACTTTCACAAAATTTCAGATCTCGACATGTGTTGTGTTTTGTTAGTTTAAACCTTCCAGCCGTCACCTCTTGCTCTCCGACGTGTTCCAAATGTTTTTGTTTGTGTCTTCATTTAAACCGATTTAAAGGGAAATATCAAATGATGGACAAACCTTGCTCCCATATAACAGTCTTTTCCTCTCTTTTTATGAAGACATTGACGAGTGTGATAATGCTGAGTCAAACGAGTGCGACTCCAGTGCTCTGTGCACCAATACCGAAGGGTCTTTCGTCTGCCGCTGCCTGGTGGGATATGAAGGAGACGGAAGGACTTGTATAGGTAGTGTTTTTGTGTTTTATCGTCTGGTGTAGTGAAACTTCCCAATATGCTTCTCTCAGTTCAAAAGCCATCAACCACCCGGGATAGGTCTTATTGTGTTTTATTCCTTCTTTCGTTTCCAGATAAAGATGAGTGCGCCAATAATGAAACAAATGATTGTGACCCCAACGCCCTTTGTACCAACACTGAAGGGTCTTATGTCTGTCGCTGTCTTAGTGGATATCAGGGAGATGGTAGAAACTGCACTGGTAAATATCTTCTCATTTGCGGTTCACTGATACGGTCTAAAGTTTTAGCACTGGAAGTCATTTTTAGTTTCACTTTTCAGCGGTAATCCCTGGCTGTTCTCCACCTTGTGGTCCCAATGCTGGTTGTCAGACAAGTGGTAAATTACCTGTTTGTGTGTGTAATCCTGGTTTCCAAGGAGACGGATACAACTGTTCAGGTTGGTTTTATAATGAGTTGTGATTTGGCAAATATCCCCCACCCAAAACGTGACGGGAACGAAATCATTTTAAGTTGTTTCTCTCTTGTGCACTAAATGCAGACATTGATGAGTGCGAGAGTGTTGAGCTCCACGAATGTGACCCCAATGCCCTGTGTACTAACGTTGAGGGATTGTACATCTGCCGCTGTCTTAGAGGTTACGAGGGAGATGGTCAATTTTGCGCTGGTAAGGAATCTTGTCAGTTAAAAGACTAAGGTCCTGCTCTGTCACGCTATTTTGATTTAAGGCTAATGCACTCAAAACTGCATTTAGATGTTCTACGTTAGTTGGAAATACATATAACTTCACTAAAAAGTAATTGTTAAATCACGGCAGAGTAAAGAGTACTTAACTTTCGCTTTGACTAGCGAACGGGAAAAGAGATTGAAATTCCCTCTTACACTACAACCTCCTTTCCGACCTTCGTTTGTTTTCTATGCCCACTAAAAAAGCAATGACGATATCTTAGCATACACCCTTAAGTTGATGAAACTGTTTAGAATTTCCAGTTTTAAGTTATCATCAAGGAAAGACGTCTGTTACGTCATGTACTTGTAAAGTGAAACCTTGTTTGAGTTAAAAATACTCCGTTCTTTGACAAACGCAGATGTGAATGAATGTGAAAATGCTGAGTCAAACGACTGTGGCCTGAATACTGTATGTACCAACTCAAATGGGTCATACTCCTGTCGCTGTAAAGTTGGCTTTCAAGGTGATGGCGTAAACTGCACAGGTAAAGTTGCACTTAAGACAGGGATCCAGATGGTTGATGTTTTTTTTTATTCTTAAATGTAAAAGTGGGAATCAGAAAGCACTTGGACATTGTGCAAGTTTATAGGTAAACGTTTTCTATCCCTATGTAGATATTGACGAGTGTGCAAGTGACGAAACAAATGAATGTGACCCCAACGCCTTGTGCACCAACACCGATGGATCTTACATCTGCCGATGTCTCCTAGGCTACGAGGGAGACGGCCGGAACTGTATAGGTAAGATATTGAAGACTCGCATATAATAGGAAGAGATTTCGTGACATCAAACTCACAATTTGTTCTTGCTAAACGTAGTTTTAGGAATAGAAATGAAAGCGTTGCTGGTAAAAGCATTAGATTTCCTTTGTGTGGATAAGAGGAGTGGATACGAAATGAGAAAATGTAAGGAGAATACGCGACTCTTGTCGCGCCTCCTTACACTCAGTAAGGTAAGGTAATCTTTCATTTTGACTTCTTTCAACACCGTTGAGTTTTTACTCCCCAGTTCCTGGCTGTAACCCTAAGTGCGGTGACAATTCATACTGCGTTGAAGATGATATCTTCCCATACTGTTCGTGTTCAAGTGGATACACAGGAGATGGCTACAATTGCACAGGTACTGCTGTTGCATGATTCCATAGTTAACATAGGAGAATTGTTATGAAACTTGACAAAGTGCCATGTTGCAAGTTTTTGTTCGCTTATTTTGGCCATTTTGACGTGCACATAACACGCAGTGGTTGTTTACTTCTCATTTAGGAACTAACCAATAGAAACATTTCGGTGACCCATACCATATCTATGCCATATCCATACCATATCCATACCATACCCATACCATATCCATACGGTACTCATACCATACCCATTCCACACCCATGTGATACCCATACCATACCATAACCTTATTTATGCAAGGTAGAAAACATATCCATACCATACTAAACTTATGATGCTAACATCCATCTTTGATTACAGACATTGATGAATGTGCGAGCTCTCAAGCAAACGAGTGTGACCCCAACGCTCTTTGTACAAACACAGCTGGATCCTACGTTTGTCGGTGTCTGAACGGATATCAGGGTGATGGCAGAAACTGTACTGGTAAATTATTCCTCTAGTTGATCTTTGCTGTGGACTCCTTGTTCACCCATTCTGTTGTAACGTTTTAGACGGCATGGCGAAATTTGGGATGTTTTTCTCTAAGCTGAATAATCCATAATGCCAACACCCATCTTTTATCCATAATTATAGATGTAGATGAATGTAAAAGCTCTGAAGCAAACGATTGTGATCCTAACGCTCAGTGTACAAATACTGAAGGATCTTATGTTTGTCGATGCCGCAGTGGTTATCAGGGTAATGGGAGAAACTGCACAGGTATAAATTGTTTCTTTGTTTTTACTTTCTTCTTTGTTATTTAAAGCATTTTTAACTGAATAATGAATTAAGTCTGACATGATTAGTCTTGTCAGTTATATATACAACTGAAGCAGTTGTGAAATTAAAGCCTAAAAAAAAAATCTAGCTTTAAGGGGATTCGAGCCCGTGACCTTTGCGATATAGGTGCATTGCTCTAACAACCGAGCTATTAAGCTCACTGAGAGCTGGTCACGTCGTGAGTTCGTAATATACCCGTAGATGGTGATGATACAAGTGATTATATGAAAGATCATATTTTCTTTAAGCGGAATAAACCAATACCATCTTTTGTCCTTAATTACAGATATCAATGAATGTGCAACCCCTGAAACAAACCAGTGTGATCCTAACGCTCTGTGTAACAACACTGTCGGATCCTACATCTGTCTTTGTCTTACTGGATATCAGGGTGATGGTAGAAACTGTACAGGTAATTGAGATTTGTCTTAATGGCTGTGTTATTGCTTCAGAGCTTAAACTTATTGCTTTAAAACACTTGACCATTGGATTATGCAATTCGATAGTTTTTTTTTATTATTGGTTTAGCCATCATGAGTTATGGACCATTATACCATGCTCTACAAATATGACAGGCGTACGGGTGATTTTTTGGGGCGTTTTTAGTCTTATTTTAGTTTAGTTAAATCTATATTTGGGGGCCCTTTTTAATAAAACAATTATTCCACTCGCGCTTATTGGATATGAATTGATTAAAGCCAACTCGGCGCTACGCGCCTCGTTAGCTATCTACCGTCTCATATCCAACGGGCACTCGAGGAATAATTGTTAAACAACATCTACCTTTCATCCATAAACCAGATGTCGATGAATGTGCAAGTTCTGAAACAAACGAGTGTGACCCCAACGCTGCTTGTACAAACACAGTAGGATCCTACGTTTGTCGTTGTCTGAGTGGATATCAGGGTGATGGAAGAAGCTGCACAGGTAATGATTTCTTCTAGTTTTTCTTTGCTGCTAACTTCTCCACTCTTTCTGTTTTAAATTTTTAAAGTGCATGACGAAATTTGGTGTGAAGGTTTTCCAAGCTGAATAATCCATGATGCTAACATTCATCTTCTATCTATAATAGACGTAGATGAATGCGCAAGCTCAGAAACAAACGAGTGTGATCCAAATGCTCTGTGTACAAATGCAGAAGGGTCTTATGTTTGTCGTTGTCTTAGTGGTTATCAGGGCGATGGAAGAAACTGCACAGGTAAGTTGTTTCTTTGGTTTTAACTTCTTCATCCTTGCTTAAGCCATTTTAACTGCATGACGAAATTTAACCTCTTCTTTCAAAAACAGCGATTTTTACTTCTGTCGCAAGTGAGAATGTCAAATGTTTAATTGTTGCTATCTTCAATTACAGACATTGACGAGTGTGAGAATAAAGAGCTCAAATGTGACCCTAACGCTTTGTGTACCAACACTGAAGGATCCTATGTCTGCCGTTGTCGTGGAGGATTTACAGGAGACGAGAAAATATGTACAGGTGGGGAAACTTTTGTCGGATAATTTTGGTTAATCAAAAAGTATTGTAAGGCAAAGAGATTGCAAAACTGCTGGATTTTTCGTGTACCAGTCTTTTTTGTTATCTCACCCCAACGTTGCCTAATTTCAATGTCCATACCTATCTTTTGTCTAATCACAGACATTGATGAGTGTACAAGCTCTGAAAATAACGAATGCGACCCCAACGCAGTGTGTAACAACACTGAAGGGTCCTACGTCTGTCGTTGCCTCAGTGGATACCAGGGTGATGGTAGAAGCTGCACAGGTAAATATCTGTTTGAAAGTTATGTTAAGTTATAGTATGTAAGTTGTTGTTTAGTGACCTGAAGGTTAGTGTGTGTGGGATTCTAGCCAGACAGGCTGCGATTGTGACTCTCATTAGAAAAAGATATTAGTGTCCCGCTCTCATTAAGTAGATAAAAAAGGTTTTGCTCTTTCTTTTCTCTCGAGCTGTCAAGTGCCCGTTATATATTAGTTTTGGACACTAAAAAAAGACGCCTTTATTTTTTTTTATTTTTATTCTTTACTTTGAAGGGCAGCTCTGCTTGTGCGTTTGTGACTGTAGTACAACTTAAAACGTTGTGGCCGAAGAAAAGCTGATTAAGGCGCGCACTTTCAAAGTTGCGGATCATCTGCATGTAATTTGGCTGACCTGTATCACACTCTGTTTCAAACATTTGGAATAATTATTGCAATGGTTTCTTCGGTGTTGACTTCTTCGCCTTTGCTGCTTAAAACTCTTTTACCTGAAGAATCTTCGCGGTTTTTCGAAACTACATTAACAACATCTATCTTTTATCTATGATTATAGACGTTGATGAATGTGCAAGCTTCGAAACAAATGAGTGTGATCCTAACGCTCTGTGTACCAACACTGAAGGGTCGTATGTTTGCTCGTGTCTTAGCGAATATCAGGGTGATGGAAGAAATTGCACGGGTAAATATTTCTTGTAGTTATGTTTTTGATTGTGACTTCTTCACCCGTGCTGCTTAAACCATTGGCTGACGAAATTTGGTAGCTCCCTCAAACAAAGTTATTCACCTCAAAATCTATCTTTTGTATTAATCACAGACATCAGTATATGTGCAACCCTGGAAACAAAGGAGTGTCTCGCAAAAGATTTATGAGACTATCATTTTCTGCATGGCGTCCCGCGCATGTCTTTGTTTGTAGTTGATAAAAGTATTTTACAATTTTAGACATCGACGAATGCGCCGATGAGGAACAAAACGACTGTGATCCAAACGCCAAGTGTAGTAACATTGTCGGATCCTACATCTGTCGCTGTCTCAAAGGATTCGAGGGAGATGGTAGAGACTGCACCGGTAAATATCTGTTTTGTTTTATGTGTTTTATATGCAGTTAGCGAAATAGTTATTCTTGGCAAAGTTAACATTATTTTACAACATAATTTTGACGAAAAAGTAGCATGTCACTTAGTATATCATCAGATTACGGAGAGATGTATAGA